CCCCAAAACCCCAAAACCCCAAAACCCCATATCACACAACAAAGATTGAAAACACTATTTAAAATCTTTTAAGCCAATAAAAGTCCAAAAAATCGTACTAATCCTTCGCATATCCACACCTAACTAAACTTCCAATCATATTCTTCACCTCATTCCCCTATACCCCAAACCCCCCATTTTAAACGCTCAGAATCCCTCATAATCAACTTCCAAGACCTCCTTCCCTCCCTTTCCTCCTAAAATCCCCATTTCAACCTCCAAAATCCCAAAAATCTCCCTAATCTCCTCCTCACACCAGCCCTAAAAATTGAGCCCTAGCCCCCTTACTCCACCTAAAACCCAGATTTCATTAAACTCAAAAATTCCTTTAAATGTATACTATAAAATAGAAGGAAATTTTAGAGTTCCAGCTAAGAATTTAGAGAAATCCTCAAAATTGGGGAAAAATGAGAAAATTAACTGGATTTTTTGGCTGAAATAGGGATTTATACGTAGAGAATGGGCAGATTTGTGTGGAAAAATTGGATTTTTGGGGGAAATTTTAGAAGAAATAGGGCTTTAGGAGTAAGAAAAGGGGCTTTAAGCCAAGATTCAGATGGGATGAAGGGAATAGTCAAGAGTTGTAGGTGTGGAAGGGTGAAGTTGGGGGATTTTGGAATTGGATGTTTCCTTTGAGAGGAAGGGGAAAGGGAACTTTTTTATGTGTAGGTTTAGTAGTTGGGATTTCTAAGCCAAATTTATTGAAAATTACTCGATGTGTCTGATCTTCTCTGTATTTGAGGAGATTTTAGTATAGTTTACTACAGTTTGGACTATAAGATATGCTACAATCACTGAAATGGAAGGTAGTAGAATCCATACCATGGAAGTTGTGTTTTAGTCTACAATTTTGTTACAATGAAAATAATATGATTAAGAATCTTCTCCTGGAGATTTACATCATCTCTGTATATTTTTATTTTTTGGTATTTGAATGATAAGGAATATGTCTTTGGAGACCAATTCTTTGTGTCATTAGATGATTTTTAGCATTTTCTTGGGGTAGGAATACTCTTGGGTTGGATAGATCAGTAGTATTCGCTGTATTAGCTCCAAAAGAATCAAACTTGTTTGTTTGTATCTTTGCTTGATTAGTCTCCCAAACAGTCTGACTCTGAATTGATTCAGGATTCATAGACTCTTTTGGTTGATTCAAAGGCATAATCTGGATCTGGCATGGATAATTAGGAAGAACTAGATTAAATTTTCCATTAAGACTTTTGCATTTCAAAGGAATTGAAGACTCTATTCTTTCAGCTTGTAGGATTGCTCTTCCTTGATTGAGAACTAGTAAGCTACATCCTTTCTTTACATTAAATTCAGAATTATCACTCTTTTGTTTTGGCTTTCTCTTAGGCTTGGCAAATTCTTCCCTGGCATCATTACTTGAACAAAAATTCTTCATTGGTAAAATTTTAGACTTTTTCTTAAATAGTCTCTATCTTGAACAGCTTAGTCATGGAATATGACTCATCACACTTCTGGAAGCTTTTATCCTTGCTAATAGTTGAAGGCAGTGATTCTTGGATACTCTTTTGAGCTTTCTTTAGATCTCTCTTTTTATTATTGGCTAGATACCTATTATTCTCTTCTGTGATATCACCCATCAAAGAATTACTCTGTAACTGGTCTTCTTTAGGAAGTTCAAATTGGTACAAAGGAGAGGCATCTCACATATTCTGTAGCACAAATTCCATCGGATCATCTGTCTTGTAGTCTTTCTTGATCTGGTCGAAATATTTCTGTCAGTGAGACCTGATCTGGATGCTAGTTCTAGTCGGGATCTATAGAGGAAATATGTCCAAAATTTAGGCTAAATTACCATTTCATCAAGAATATCCCAGTTCTTCCCATATCTCTTTAAGCCTAGATGATGATGGAGGGGAGTTACAGTTGACGAAGGTTTGGTGTTCTTCAAAAGTCCATCTTCCTTTCTTTTTCTGAATTCTTGGGTAAAGTTGTACACTCTAAAACAAAGAGATTTGTAAGTGCTCAAGAGAAGGACTTTTAAAGCATGAGCTAGAAGAGTCTTACCATTTCTGTCGCAGGAAAAATATCTGTTTCTCTATAGTTTAGAAAATACTCTTTGTTCTTTCTCATTTTGAGCTATATTTAAGGGTTTAGTGGAATTCTGATGAAGGAATTTAAGTAGTGATCACAGAAATTTTAGTGTTAGACTTCTCCTTTGGTGATAGTTAAGGACAACTTTTGTTACTGAGGTTGAGAATTGAGTGAAATTTTGAGAAGAATTATAACAAAGGGAGTCAAGATCTTCTATCTAAAACCTCTATCTGCATTGTTTCCATCAGTCTAGCTTCAGACAAATTTAGCAATAAAGTTCTTATAAATCCAGAAAATTATGTAAAAATAAGGCTAAATATTTTATGATGAGCAGTAAAGATGGAAGCTATTCTTCCTGAACAAATTTATTAAATCTTGTTAAACTCTTTATGGGAAGCTAAAACTATACTCTTGGTACAATAATAGGCTCAAGGACTCAGATCTGCTTCCGAAATGTCTTGAATTCTCAAAAAAGTATGGGAATAAAGATTTTTATCACAGTTCTTCATGACATACTACCTAGGTTTAATTAGGTCTATAAAATAGGGTTCCAAAAGTCTCTGAGGCATAAAATTAACCAAATTTTATGTTTAGGAAGTTTTAGCAACGAAATCAATTTATTTTAAAGCAATTTTAAGCTTAGCATGCCTATTTTATATCAGCACAATTTTGTGATAAAGTTAAAACTCTTATGGTAAGCTTAACATAAGGACTCCTTAGGCTCAAAATTTTCTAAAACCGTTGTTTCAGCAAGCTACGAGATATATAATACAAATTTGGTTGGATATGAACGGTCTGGCCTTCTCACAAGTTTGCTCATGAAAACCCTCAAGTATTTTTAGTTGAGCAGAATGAAGTTTTCTTATTTTAAGACTTATATCTCTCTGAATGAAACTAGGGGAAGCAGCACTAAAATATTTGATTATTCTGGAACAAGTCTGGACTTTAGCTTCACAAATAGCATGCTAAGTTTGAGGAAATAATCAGAAATTTTTATGATAAAAGCAGTATGATTCAATTATTATCAAAAATTTCGAATATTCGCTGTAAAAATCTTAGTGTTATTTTATAAAATAGCGAATTCGCCAATGAGAGTGGTAAGTTAAGCTATCCAAAATATCCAGACGTGATCTTGCCGTGGAGTTACTAATTTCTCCTGCTTTCTCTGAAGTTATTGACAAGGTAAGCTTATTGTCAGAATTCATGAAGTCCAAATCCAGACAACTTAATTATTTTATTGATAAACTTTGCAAATCATTAAAGTGGAACTCCTAGGCTAAATTCCGGATTTCAGAGCAGTTGGAGAAGCGAGAAAGCTTATATCCCAATAATTTAGAAATCTTCTTTGTGAATAATAGACATGAGTCCTAGCTTTGAACGAGCCTTGCTTAAGGAAATTGGGGTACCCCATAATCTTAAAAAGTGTATGATCTTCCAGGATTCTTAGGTTAAACTTTTTAAATCTTTATAAGAAATGAACAAAACAGCCTTGTCTGTAAAAGCAGGCAATGTTTTGAAGTCAGGGCTAAAGGCAATGCAAAAGAGGCAAAAACTCCCAATAAAAGAAGAAACTCAAACAGAAGTCCTAAGCTAGGACGGAAACTTTTAGAATTCAGAGTAAACTAACAATGCCACTATAAGTTCAGTCTCCACCCTCTTCGTCTCCTGTTCACTTCCCAAATCTCTGTATTATATAACAAAACTTAAAGCTCTTTATTAGATCCAGTGGTTTTAGTGCTCCCATGTTTCAAGGTCTTTATGGTTCTTAAAGTCCTCACAGCTAGGCTCACATCCACCCACATTCCATAATCTCCCTTTACCCTACCCATCCCTATTCCTAACTTCTCCACCCCTAACCCCTCCATGCCCATTTCCCTTGCCCAACCCAAAAACAACAATTTTAAGCCAACTCCAATACGAGATGCGTTCACCTAGAGTATAACTTTGGGAAGAAATCTAGCAGTTTAAGCCAGGAGACATTGTTGAGCCTTACCAAAAATATTTTAATTTCAATCGAGTAACATTCTGGGGTTTTGGGGTTTTGGGGTTTTGGGGTTTTGGGG